AGTTTGAGATACTGACAAAGTACCAGAAGGGACCTTAGAGATTATCTCATGATAATCTATTTCTAGATGAGCAATCTCAGACTGAGTGAGAGAGAATGACTTTCCCAAGGTATCATAGAAAATTGGTGCCTGAGTTCCTAGGCTAATGCTCTGAGTTGCAGGTGGTTGGAAGTGGAGGCCAGATACCCAGGATAGAATGTGGGACTAGAACAATTTGGAAGTTCTTGAGTAGTGAGGAAGGAGCTCTGGTAGCACAGTGCCAAAGGCATTCTGACTGCTAACCAGAAGGTTGGTGGTTCAGATCCACTAGCCACTACATGGAAGCAAGACTGGGCAATCTACTTCCGTAAAGATTTACTGACTTGGAAACCCAATGGGGATTGCTGTGAGTCGCAATCGACTTGACAGCAGTGGGTTTGGTTTTTTTTTTTTTTTTTTTTTTAGTAGCTGAAGCTATTTAAGAGGGTTTGGGAAGATATAAAAGGTGTTGAAATCAAAGACAGCAAGATAGATATCAAGAGGGAGGTCTGCTAGCCCAGGCTTTTCGAGTGGCAGTTCCGTCACTGAGCAATGATTGATTGAGGGCCTGTGCTGGGGATACAGTGGATAAAACAGACTTCCTGCCATTGCAAAGCCAGCTGCTTAGTAAGAGACAAACAGATAAGGAATTCCAGAGCAAAATATTAGGTGTCGTGAATGAGGAAAACAGGGTATTGTAGGAGCAGTTCCACAGTACTTCAGGTCCAGAAACTGAATTTCATCTGTTTACCCAAAATTGACTAGGCAGGTAGGAAAGAGAGAACATTGAGAAGGAGAAGAAACTTAGAGAACAAGGACTGACCCACACCTACCAAACTCACCAGACTGTGAAAAAATAAGGTAGAATATTGTTAAATACTTTACAATGAGGGTGCTCAGTGTGCAGGGTAATTCCTTTCCCATGTAAAAGGTCCCAGGGATGAGAAGTTTGCTTGGTGAGCCTAGAAGTAGAAAGAGGTGCATAGTCTTGAGAGAGAGTTCAGCAAAACCCATGGAAATATTCTTGTCCTAAATAGGTTTCACCAATTATGATTCTTTCCTTGCAGTATTTTACATTTTTATTTATTAGATATTATTAATATTTATTAGTAATTTATTCATATGTTGAAAAATATAGGGAAAAAATCTCCCTCTCACCCCTGCTCCCCAGCCACCTTGGTTCCCTCCCCAGCAATAGCTAATGTTATCAGTGTCTTGTATATCCTTCCAGAGATATTTTATCAAGGAGCTCTGGTGGTTTAGTGGATAAGTGACTTGACTGCTAACCAGAAAGTCAGTGGTTCAAACCCACCAGCCGCTCCGGGTAAGGAAGACTGGGCGATCTACTTCTATAAAGATATACAGCCTTGGAAACCCAATGGGGGTTGCTATGAGTCAGAAATGACTCGATGGTAGTGAATGTTATCAATGTCTTGTGTATCCTTCCAGAGATATTTTATTAATTCAGTCCAAATAATACTTTTTCTTTGATTAGATTCCAGTCATGAAAATACAGTTTAGTCATTTCGTTTTAACTTGAACATCATCTTTTTTTTTTTCCCTTCTGATTTGAGAGATATCCTGTCTCCTAATTTATAGATAGAAATGTATTTTAGAACGGGTGACTTCTGCAGGTAGCTAAACTTATCCATGAGCGTGTACATGTCTAGTTATTTTTGTTTTTAATATTTTGACAGTGCACATATACCTCTAAGGTGTACGAACACTTTATGATTTCTCCCAATTGCTCCCAATGATTCTGATGTCAACCATAATAGTGAAATAATGAATTCTTACAATAGGCTTGTTGTTCATTTTGTTGACTCAGTAACACATTTGAAAAACTCTGCTGGGTGATATCCCCAAAGAAACACTGATGAAGGAGAAACTGGAAAGCAGAATCCTTTGCCATGCTTCTGATGTGTTTCCTATCCCTTGTTCTCTTACCCCTTTTTAGATCTACACTACTCTAAATTATGTGTCTAGATTAATTTGCAAGGGTACATTACTATTAGACTTGAATACACTATTAAATATGAGGCCACCAAGATCCTAAAAGTATTATTCAATCAAAGTCACTGGTATTACATTAACCAATAGCAATAAGAGAGGAAAGGAGGCAAGAGTTCACTATTCCATCTTTTCTGACTAAGGCAGCAAAGACAAGACCAAGGAGTTGCCAGGTATCACACTAGATATTCCGCAGAGTTTGCAGATAATAAATAAAAGATAAAAAAGAGGAAGGGGGATGCTTTGATTTGCTTTTATAGCAGTAGTAATGCCTTGGGTGGCTTTATCCAAACTCTCCTTGGATTCCAGGAGGGAATTAAAGGTGTGCTCTGTGGCTATAAGAATTTTTCTTTATGTAAAACTTAATGACACCCTAGCCTCATTATTACCAGGCAACACCAATACCTACCTCTGCAAAATTAAAATGGTGCCTTTAATGAGTGGCATGAGGACATCCTTGGCACTCAGATACAAATGGTATAGGGCAATGTCAGGGCCTTGTTACATACTTATTGTTCTCTTGAATTCCTTTATTGAGGAAGTGCACATCTCTGGCTACCCCACCTACACAGAGAAGGCTGCATTTTATTGTTGGGAGAAGGAACTTTTTAAATTTTGAGAAATGCTACAGATTCCCAAAGCCTTCACTATAGAGAGGAAAAGATTTGATTCCAGTCATGTAGCAAGTTAGTAGCAAACATAAGATATAAACCTAGACTTGCTGACTCCTTTTACCATATTATGACATTTGGGGGTCTCCCTATTGTTAGAAAAACAAGCAAACAAACAAACAAAAAAACAGTTGCTGTGGAATTTATTCCAACTCATGGTGACCTCAAGTGCATCAGAGTAGAATCGTGCTTCATAGGGTTTTCAAAGGCTGATTTTTCAGACGTAGATGACCAGGGCTTTCTTCTGAGGTACCTCTGGATGGACGCTAGCCTTCAAACTTTTCAATTAACAGACAAGTGCACTGCCCAGGGACTTCCCTATTGTTAAAACCAAAACCAAAACCAAACCCACTGTTGTCTAGTTGATTCCAACTCAAAACAACCCTATAGGACAAAGTAGAACTGCTTCATAGGGTTTCCAAGGCTGCAGTCTTAGAAAGACAGAAGCAGACCACCACATCTTTTTCTGCAGAGATGCTAGGGGGTTAGAACCTCCTTTGTTAACAGATGAATGCTTTAACCACTGTGCAACCAAGGCTCCTTCCCTATTGTTAAGGAGCTCTGGTGGTACAGTGCCTAAGGCATTTGACTGCTAACCAGAAAGTTGGAGGTTCAAACCCACCAGCCACTCCATGGAAGGAAACTAGGGCAATCTACTTACATAAAGATTTAGCACTTTGGAAACCCAGTGAGGGTCACTAGTAAAATATTACCTCATATTCATAAAGCTCTTAGTGTCCCATCAAGTTTTGCATCTACATTCCTTCATTAGGCCCTTCAACAATCTCGTGTGCTACGGAAAGTCAATGCAATTGTTCTTATTTTATGGATAAGGTTGCAACTCAAGAAGACACACAGTAATCCATAACAGAGTCAGACTAGAACCCAGTTCTCCCAGTTCCCTATCCAAGGCTCTCTCCACCAATACCATCCTGCTTGTGTGGTGCCTTCCATCAGCGAACTCTGGAAAATAGGTTTGAGACACTAGAATTCAAAACACAACCCATTAAAACGAATAGTTACATATTTTGTAAGTATAAAAATTAAATACCCAAATCGTCCTGCCCCCTCTGAAGCTATAAACCTAAATATTATAAACTGAATTTTCTAGTTTTACACAAATGTGCAGCAATCAAGATTGCACTGTTAGGCAACTGATTTACTAACAAAAGTTGCCTAATCCAGTTGAAACAGAAGTTTAAATACTTGAAGTGGAAGGAAAGAAAATGCCTCCCTTATTTTTGGCCCACATTTGTCTCTATTTTCATGATTGAGTTTCCCCAGCCAGGGGCACATGGCCAAAGAGCATTAGAAATGGTAAGTTCTCCGACTGGCTATTGGGGTGGAAAACCCAGGAGAAGGAGGGGCGGGGACGACCTGAGTTATAGACTTAGTCCCATTTAGTCTCAAAGTTGGGAGCTCTGGTAGCATAGTGGCTAAGGCACTTGACTGCTAACTAGAAGGCTGGTGGTTCAAACCGACCAGCCAGTCCTCGGAAGGAAGATGGGGCAATCTACTTCCGTAGTGATACTGCCTCGGAAACCCCAGGAGGGGTCGCTATGAGTCGGGTCTGACTCCACGGCACATAACAACAACAACAGTCTCTAACTTGGTGGTACTCTAAGAAGCCACCTAAAGTTCAGGAGGTTTTGTTAACTGTAAAATAAGAGGACTGGGTTAGTGCATACACGTGCATTTATACGTATGGTTGCAATTACGCTTTGCATATTTAAATTCATAAATGTAAATTTAAAACAACATTTAAAAACAAGCAAACTCACTGCCATCTAGTCTATTCCTATTAATAACGACGCCCTTTGTGTTTCAGAGGCGGTGAATCTTTACGGAAGTAGATTTGCCCGTCTTTCTCCCGCAGAGTGGTTGGTGGGTTTGAACCACCACCCTTCTGGTTAGCAGAAAAAAATGCTTTCAGGCACTACGCCACCAGAGCTCTTTTTAAAACAACGTATGTAAGTGATCCTAAGTTACTTTGTCAGAAGTCGCGCCCTACTTTCTTTCCCTGAAATGCTAATGGATCTCCTTCCGCGAACGCGGGCCGAGCTTCGTGGAGTGCACTCGTTGACCCCGGGCCCAGCCTCAGTTCCAAATTCTGGGCGGCCCCAGGCAGCCAGCCGGGGGCTCCGCGGCGCCTCACCACCTGTTCCTGGCAACCAATGGGGCCTCCGGGGGAGGCCGGGGGCGGGGCGAGCCTACAAAAGACCGCGGACCACAGGCGTCCGGAGACTCCCTCTTTGCGCGCTCTCCGGAGGCTCGGGCTAACGCGGCCGAGCAACGGGAACATTCCGCTCCTCGACCAACCAGTCGCCAGGCGATGCTGCGGGTGCGGTGTCTGCGCGGCGGGAGCCGCGGCGCCGAGGCGGTGCACTACATCGGGTCTCGGGTGCGTGCGCTGCGGGCCTCATTCGGCTGTGCGCGCGGTGCCGAGTCCCTGCTCCCTCCCCAGATCTGCGGCGTTTCATAGCTCTCCCAAACTGGAATGGCTTGAAAATGCCCATTCTGGTCCTCCTTGGAAGCGCGGAAGGACCTTTGCTGGTTGCAGGGAAATTGGTTTTTTTCTGGGAAAGGGGGATATGCTTTGCGGCCGCATCCCGCAGGTACAGTGGCTCGTTGCGCATACGTGCAGGGGGTACCGCCGTCAGCAACCGAACCACAGTGCATTCTGCCGAGCTCGCTCCTGGGGCGTGGCAGGGGTTTGGGGGATGACGGGTAACACTAATTAGGAAAAGTGTGGTGGTATTGGGGTTCAGTGCCCAGAGTGGGTATAGGGTTGAGGGGCTTTTGGGGAAATGCATGTGGGATGGAGAAATGGGGGAAAGAGGGTAAAGGGAATCGAGGACAGAGAGAGAGCGAGCAGACCCTCCGAGTGTAATACGGAATCCTGAGTTTTAAGAGGACTTGGAGCGAGTTCATTGTATGGCTAGAGTTTATGCCCGGTCCGGCCCTCCGCCTCCCTGGGATGTAAACACGCTTGCAGACCCTCCCTAGTCCTGTGACAGAAATTGCTGGGCTGTTTGATTTCCCCCAACAACTGGTTTCAGAACAGCTGCCACTTTCCCGCTCTATTTGTTTGCCACACCCCAGTTTCCCTCTTGCCCCGTTCCGAAGATTTAACTGAGTAGAGAGATTGGGGTTGGGGGAGAGGATGAAATTTGATCAGGTGGGTGAGTAACTCTCCTTGCTTGAGATTTTTGAATAGGCTTTGCATTTTTTTAAGTTGTTGTTATGTGCAATCGAGTGGAGTCGTACTCGACTCATAGCGACCCCTCCTTGGGTTTCCGAGGCAGTATCACTACAGAAGTAGATTGCCCAACCTTCTTTGGCGTGGCTGGTGGGTTTGAACCGCCAGCCTTCTGGCTAGCAGTCAAATGCCTTAGGCACTATGCTACCTCTTTTGAATTCTTTGATCTCTTTGTTAGTTGTTTAAATTTGTGCCTGGGTTACCCCTTATCTTGGTTAGGGCCCTGTAGACTACCCATAAAATGGAGCAGATGGCAGTTAATCACTTTCAGAATTAAGGTGCCAAAGAATGTGAAGTATGTATCAGCAATGAGAAATTTTTAGTTTGAAACTGATTAGAAAGATAAGGTTGTTTGGAAATTCTTCCCATATTTTCCTTTACGGGGGGGGGGGTACCCCAATCTTGGTAACCTTTGATACTGAAGGGAAAAAGAGCCTCACCTTCAGAGCTGGATTTGGCAGAGAGACAGAGAGCAGCTTTCAGCCATTTTCTAGGAAAAGGCCCATCATCTGCAGAAGAACTGCTTAAAGCTTGACTGCAGGAACCCATTCTGAGATATCAGTGTGGCTGTAGAGTCACTGGAACAAAACCTTCTGAGGGGTTTTAAAGAATTATACCGGTCAACATGCTTTTGTTGTTATGTGCCATCAAGTGGATCCTGACTCATAACGACCCCTCCTTGGGTTTCCGAGGCAGTATCACTACAAAGTAGATTGCCCAACCTTCCTTCCGAGGAGTGGCTGGTGGGTTTGAACCACCAGCCTTCTGGTTAGCAGTCAAGTGCCTTAGGCACTATGCTACCAGAGCTCCTAATTAACATATACTCAGAAGAAAAAGATAATATATAGATAAACAAAAAGAAGGTAAATATTGCCTGTAATCCTCCTACCCACCTATATACCAGTAACATCTTAGTTTATGGAACTCTGGTGGCATAGTGCCAAAGGCATTTGACTGCTAACCAGAGGGCTGGCAGTTCAAATCCAGCAGCCACTCCTCAGAAGGAAGGTTGGACAATCTACTTCCATAGAGATACCACCTCAGAAACCCAAGGAGGGTCGCTTGAGTCTGATCTGACTCCACAGCAGTGAGTTTGGTTTGGTTTTTGGAAAGGATTTTAAAATGACTGACTGTGTTATTCTGGATTTTCACTCCACCTTCACTCTCTTCCTCCCCCAAATACTGTACAGGGCTACACAATAATCTTTTCTTTGTTTTGGAAAGCTTGGAAGAAACTTAACAGGATGGGTGCAGCGAACTTTCCAGAGCACCCAGGCAGCTACAGCTTCCTCCCGGAACTCCTGTGCAGCTGACGACAAGGCCACTGACCCTCTGCCCAAGGACTGCCCTGTCTCTTCTTACAACGAATGGGATCCCTTAGAGGAAGTGATAGTGGGCAGAGCAGAAAACGCCTGTGTTCCACCATTCACTGTGGAAGTGAAGGTAAAGCAAGGGTGTTTACTTGTCTGGAAGTCGGCTCACTCCTTACTGTCTGCAGTCGGGTGTCTGCTCCCATCTTCTTCTATAACTCCTTTCACTTGATCTCCCAAAGCCAGTGGTTAATTTTAAGTTATCTTACCTGGCCCTGTTTATACAAATGATAATTTCTTCTTGAAACTCTTTCCTTGACTTCTGAGAGACCTTTCTGGGAATATTAGTACTTCCACAGGCTCTCAGAACTTCTTTCACTGTGTATAATGTTGGGATTGAATTGAGTTTTGGCCCTCTTCTCTTAGCCATTCTCACACTTCCACTCCCACCTCCACTCTGTTCCAGATCTCTTTCCTAAACTCCTTCTTGATCAACATGCTAAACTCCCTACTGATATTGCCATGGGACCTCAAAGGTGGCACATCTGAAATTGAATTGCCAACCATCCTGCCAAACCAGACCTTTCTTCTTTGCTGTATTTCAGTTTTTATAAAACACCAGAAGACAATGTTTGATTTCTCCTCAATTACATCATTCACGTACAGCCTATAAGATCTAACAAGTCTTTTGTCAAAAGGAATCTGGTATCCATTGCCTTGCTTCCCTCCCTTTGACACTGCTTTAGGTCAAGATTTCATCTGCCTTAGGTCAAGATTTCATCTGCCTGGGCTATTGTGGCTAACTCCTAACTTGTCTTCCCCGTTTGTTTTCTCTTCAAACCACCTTCCAGCTGCTACAAGAGTGATTTTTTAAAACCTAAGTTTGATCATATTTCTCATCCTGCTCCCTTCGCTTCTCTACTTTGCTAGCTCCCCAATGTTAGGATAAAGTCCTCATGGTAGTCGAGATCTTCCATCATCTGGATCTCTTTTCCAGGGCTCCCCACTTCAATCATTGGCTCATCTTAGAGATGTATCAGTATGGCATGTTAGCAGCTCGTCATTCCTGTTTGAGTCCTTCTCTCTTTTAATGTTCCACCCTGGTTTTCAGCAGACTTTATAAGATAACCATATAAACAGCCAAACTACACTACTCACTGTTCCCTACCAAGCCTTTGCCCCTGCCTATGTTTCTTCCACACATCTTCCCATACCCTTCTTATCTGCAGTTTAAACCTATCCCTGTTACCACTGCCTAGCTCCAATGACACCTTTCACAAAGCTTCCAGGATTTCTATGGCAACAAGTAATATCTCCCGTATAACAACATGTAACATTCTTTATCTAAAACATTCGAATTGCCAGGGCCTCTGTGGACTAGCATATCTAAGGGAGTGCCATCCACATTGTAGACATACCCTAAGCCTCCATTAATAATGGGTCACAAATCTATTTTTAATGGACTTATATTCTCCTTGAATATTTGCATTTTTAGTTAATAATTTGGATTGAGAAAATAAGTTCTTTAACATCATCATTGTCGTCACCCTCAGAAATGTTGCCTGCCAGGTACCAGGGCTCTATAGGTACTAACACAAAAGAACTTTCTTTTGGAGAGAGATGATATTTACATAAAAACAAAGGCTAATACTAAGTATGTTTTGCCAATCACCTGGCAAAGTGTTGAAGTGTCGCTGTAGTTAAAGAGAAAGCAATGACAAAGTGATACAGTAGGAAGTCTTGAAGGAAAATGATTCTTGAGTTAGACCTTGAAGTAAGGATAACAGAAAAATATTTGTTCTACTTGTTGTGAAACTACCTTTGTGTGGTGGTTATGTTTGTGTGTCAACTTGACTGGGCTTGGTTGAGTGGCTGGGCAGCTGGTGGTAGTTATTCCCCATGATGAGACTGGCAGTCATCTCCATGGTGGGACCTATCACACGTAGCTGAGTAGCTGCTTTGGGTGTGTGGGCTGCTTCCCATATATAAGAAGCAGCTTTGGGAATAGTCTCTAGCTTATGGAACACTTGGACCCTGCATGTAGCTGTGTCTTTGTTGAGCAGCCTGCCATGCTCTGCTGACCTTGGGACTTACAATGGACTTGAATTAATGGCCTTCCTTGTGGTTTGGTAACATCGGGACTGTGCCTTTTTACTTGTCAACCTTGGGTTTTTCAGCCTCAGCAGCAAGCAGCTGAGTGAATAAACTCCTTTAGCTCTAGTGGGCCAGGAGTAGGAGGCAGAGCTGGACCCCACGGTTGAGGGGCTTTCACCCAGACCCTAGAGTCTGGCACTTGAACTTGGACTTAAAGCCTCCAAATTGTAAGAATAAACTCCTGCTTGTTAAGGCATCTCATTTATGGTATATTCCTGTCAGAGCAGCACTAGGTAACCAGAACACTTTGGTTCTGATATTTGGAATTTGGTGAACAGATTTCACAAAATTCATACATATCATCTACATATTTCAAAAAGGCATGGTCTTTGTAAATATTTTCTTTAAATGAAACTGCCCCAGCCACTAGCCATTTAAATTGGATGAAACTAAATTCAAATGCAGGCACTAGTTTATTCTTCTATTTGTCTTTAAACTTGTCGACTTTTATACTGAGAATCAGAATTCCCAGACTTGAGTTTTTTGTCACTTGATTTATGGCTTTAGAGTTTGTAGTTTCATGGTCTATGGAAGGAGACCAAAGTCAGGAGACCTGGATTGAATTAAGTATTTGATAAAAGCTTGATTGCTAGTCTCAGTTAATTAGCTTTTTGACCTTGTTTGGGGCTCTCAGCCCCAGTAAAATGAAGATATAGGTAGTCCCTAGGTTACGAATGTCCAATTTATGTACAACCTATAGTTATGAACCAACTGCTATAAAGGCCATTATATTAAAAATTTGAGGTACATGCTGTTGTTGTTGTTGTTGTTGTTATGTGCCGTGGAGTCGGACCCGACTCATAGCAACCCCTCCTTGGGTTTCCGAGGCAGTATCACTACAGAAGTAGATTGCCCCATCTTCTTTCCGAGGAGGTACATGCAGTGGTTCAGAATAACAAATGGGTGGTACTTTGCAACATGCATCAAAAAATTATCACTGTTACTATTACTGTATTACTATACTAAAGATGTTTTAGTGTTTCTTTAATTTTTTTGTGTAGAAAGGTCCTGGAACCAATCCTCTGCAGACACTGAGAGGGATGGTTGTAAATCTAAGTTATGCATACCTCCTATAAGACAAGGCCCTACCTTCTAGTTGGATACAAATGATAGAGATATTAATCATTTTGAGAACAATAAAAGATAAAATAACATAGTAAACTGTTTACAGGCAATTGGAGCATAAGATATGTGGTAAGATATAAGTGCCAGAGAAATTTTGAGGAAATGAACATGTTGGTCAGGAGGCACCATTTTTAAAAACTATATGGCTTTTTTATTTTGCAGAACAGTGAATGTTGTTGTTAGGTGCCATCGAGATGATTTCAACTCATAGTGACCCCATTACAACAGAACATCCTCACAGTCATTGCTGTGCTTGAGCCCTTTGTTGCAGCCACTGTGTCACTCCATCTCATTGAGGGTCTTCCCCCCTTTTGCTGATCCTCTGCTTTACCAAGCAGGATACCCTTCTCCAGAGACTGGCCTCTCCTGATAATGTGATCAAAGTAAGAGAAAGGAAGTCTGGCTATTCTCGCTTCTAAGTAGCATTCCAGCTATACTTCGTGGTATCAAATATGTGTTTTTGTTGTTTTTGTCTTTTTTTAATAAAGAATCTTTTATAGAGTACAGGAGTAATCAAGGTTGATGTACTATTATGTTTAGAGTTGAATAAATAAGGAGTAAGATTCTACTGCGGGAGCTCTGGTAGCATAGTGGCTAAGACACTTGCCTGCTAACCAGACGGCTGGCGGTTCAAACCCACCAGCCACTCCTCGGAAGGAAGGTTGGGCAATCCTACTTCCGTAGTGATACTGCCTCGGAAACCCAAGGAGGGGTCGCTATGAGTCGGGGCCGACTCGACCGCACATAACAACAACAACAAGATTCTACTGCAGTATCTTAGCCTTCTGAAAACAGTATTTAACATTCATTCAGCAAGCTCTCCTGAAGGATTTAGGCTCTAAAAGACTATAAAGTTTTTAGGAAAGCAAGCCACATCTCTGTAGACGGTTATTGAAAACACCATACACTAAACATCTAATATAGTGTTAACTTGCAGACACTTTGTAGTAGATTGCTAAGTCAAATTTTACAGGGTTATAAAGGAACTGTAAACAATTTCCAGTTTCCCTTGGGAAATGTATCTCTACTCTGATCATTTGGACTTTATCCAGCCTTTACCAGAATATAGACCATACAAAGAAACTCACACTTGTTTAAATAATTTTCTTCTCCCAGGAAAGTTACTTTATCTTTTTCAAGACTCTGCACAAACAGTCATGCAGGATACTTTGGAATGTTTCAGGCAGTACAACATAGCTGCACATCTACTGTAACCCCAGTGTTAAATTTTCAAAGGCTGCCTGTCCTTTAGCAGAGATGTGCCTGGCATTAGAAGGAGGAAGTGGTGAATGGCTGTGTAGCACCAGGATGTGGCTGAGAGGAATATAAAGAGTCATCATTATCCTCTCTTTCTGGTTACTACTGCAGGACTTCCTAGGAGTAGAAAACAGTAAAGTGCCTTTTTTTTTTTCTTTTTTAAATGTGGATTGAGTTTTAAAAATTCTCAAATGTTTAATGCTCATAACATTTTGAATGGCTCAGAAATCGAGCCTCCTGTTTGCCTATAGATCTTCAAAAGTAAAGCACCTAACTGATGATTGAGAACACACCAAACCCACTACCATCAAGTCATTTCTGACTCAAGGCGACCCCCATAGAGTTTCTAAGGCTGTAAATCTTTACAGAAATAGATTGCTTTATCTTCCTCCCATGGAGCAGCTGGTGGTTTTGAACCTCTGACCTTCTGATTAGTAGCCAGATGTCTTACCTGTGTGCCAGAGCTCCTTGAATGAGAACAGGGATCAGTTCAATTTTTCTGTATAGGGCCAGATAGTAAATATTTCAGGCTTTGCAGACAGTAGGTCTTGGTTGTAACTCTGCCACTGCAGTGAAAAAGCAGCCCTAGAAAATAATGTACTTTAATGGACATGTCTGTGTTCCCATAAAACTTTATTTATAAAAATAGGCAGTGGGCCAAATTTGGCCCATGGACATTAGTTTGCCAACCTTTGTTTTACAGCTTCTTTGGCATCCTTTGTGTTTGCTGAAGACCTGTTTTTCAACTTCTTATGTACCAGGTTCAGCTACAGCCTGACTGATACGAACATAGATATTGACCTAACAAAAGGCAGGTCTGCTTCCATATGTTTGATATTTATCAGTCTGAGGTGAAAATGAAAGTACAGACACATAATCTAGAAAAGATACAATCCTTGACATTAAAGTGCTAGACATGTAGACATTTAGCCCAGTTGGCATGAGCAAAACCATTGGGAACGGTAAGAACTGTGTTAAGCAATTTTAAAATTTTTTATACATGAGGTTAAAAATATTCAAGCCAGTATCATATAGCTGAGTCCCTTGGTGTGGTGAAAGCAGTAGTAGAGTAAGAGTCAGAGCATTTGAGTTCTAGTCCTGCTTGTCCAGGTAGTAAGTGGGCATGGATTTCCCTGAACCACTTCCCTTGTATGTGAAATGAGACTGTGGAAACTTGCTCTGTTTGTTAGAATTGCTGGGAACACTAACTGAGAGGATCTCTAGCTAAAGGGAACCCGCTCTGATATGCTCCATCCCGTTGTACAGTCTTCCCTCTTCTTTGGAACATTTGACCACTACCTGAAGTTGTCTGATTTATGGTGGAAGCCCTCTTACCTGGCATGATCAGGACTGGTGGTTGATCAGCTAATCAATTATAGAAAGAAACACTTTTTTTTTTTCTAAATACCTGCTTTAAACATTTTTAATACTTGAAATACATAAATGTACATTGCTTTGACAATCTTTTGATGGTGGGCCATGGCTTTTTCTTAAAGTTTGGATGCTCTGATTAGAATTCTGCTTCCTCTCTCTTGATAAATTATATCCTTAAGTATCATCTACGTTTCCTAATGCAGTTCTTCGACTTGATTGAGAACTTAGATACAGAATGAAGAGTCCTAGATTTCATTTTAAAAACCAATAATTTACCATTGTTTTACCTACCCCTGATGCAATAGTAATTTTTAGCAAACTGATTGAACCTTTTTAAAGCATTCAGCTGTTTTTAATTCAGTTGTCTTTTTAAATGCATCTATCCTCTGGAAACTTTGTACCTGTTAAGCATGTTTTCAGCTATTAAAGATTTGTGAATTTGTCTATAAGATCACTTTCTTCTAGACAAAAGGACGTGAAGCCATGTGAGAGCTTGGATGGGTTGGAGAAAGGAGAGGCTGGGAAGACACTGAAAGGAAAGGGTAGGAGCTGCCAAAGGCAGACTTGTACTGCCACATGGTTTTGCCAAGTGCTATTCAGTTGAATGGGAAAATCAATAATAGCTTTCTAAGAGGAACAAAGCATATTTGAGAGTATGTCCCTGACCTTAATGGGGGCAGAGTCCTACTTTCCCACAAATTACTACTAAGCCCTGTTTTCCAGACAGTTCTGGTACAGTGATGGTTTGGGGTTAGTATCGGGGCGCTTTTTATTCTCTTACGCTATTTTGTTTGTTCTCTTGTTCAATTTCCTTGAGACTCTAGAATGGAGTGTCTGTGTCCTATCTTGTCTGTGAAGCAGGATAAAAACTGGCTCAGAAGATCCCAGGCCTGCCTGAGGGCAGACACACTGTGAGTGGTAGGGCGAGACCTCAGGCAGAGGCAGTGAGAGGCCTCAAAATATGGAGAGAATTTAGGGTTCTTCATTCAACATATATTGAGTGTCTGCCCAGAGAGACAATGTACTTGGTGCTGGGGATTAACAGTAAGATCTGGTATTAGTCTAAGTTCTCTTATGCTGTACAGATAGTTGTTCATGGCCCTTGAACCTGTCATGAATTGTGTATTCCTCCTAAAGATATTTCATTGTGACCTTCTGCTTCTAGGCCAACACATATGAGAAGTACTGGCCTTTTTACCAGAAGCATGGAGGCCATTATTTTCCCAAAGAACATGTGAAAAAGGCTGTTGCTGAAATTGAAGAAATGTGCAATATTTTAAAAATGGAAGGAGTGACAGTAAAGAGACCTGACCTTATTGACTGGTCATTGAAGTATAAAACTCCTGATTTTGAGTCTACGGGTAAGTAACAACTGATAACTAAACTGCTAATGGCTGATTTTTTCTTTCTTTTCCAGTGTATAAGGAGAACGTTCTGATAATTTCTCAGAGGTTATTTTGTTTTAATAATCCTTTAAAACTTTAAAGGTTATTTAGGAACAGTTTATAATTCTGTGAAACATAAGCATTTGGTTCATTTTTATATGATTCAGATGTATACATATAAACACCATTGTAAATCTTGAATCTCCTTGAGAGAAGCAGTCTTTCCTAAACTTTATAATAATTTCTTTACATAAGGACAGTGGATTCCACTTAATTTTCCTCAAGAATAGAAATTAAGAGGGGAACAGAAACAGTTCCGTTTTATTTTTAATTGACATTGTTGCAAGACTGTTCTTGTGTCCAAGTTCAGTGTTCTAATTTATAGTTCTAGAAATGAGCCTTGGCATGTCTTAGTGAGACTAGTATTGTACTCAATGAAGAACCCTGTTTCTTTGTAGCAAACTAAAACCAAACCCACTGCCATCGAGTGGATTCTGACTCATAGCAACCCCATAGGACAGAGTAGAGCTGCCCCATAGGGTTTCCAAGGCTGTAAATCTTTATGGAAGTAGGCTGCCTCATCTTTCTCCCATAGAATGGATGGTGGGTTCAAACTGCCCACCTTTTGATTAGCAGTTGAATGCTATAACCACTACACCATTAGAGCTCCTGTGCAGTAAAAAAAAAAGAGCTTACAAATGGTAAAAACTTAGTGGCTCGAGATGTCTTTGAACAAGAACCTTCATGTTTCTGTTTTGTTTTCCTTTGTATTACTTGACTTCAAACCTATACACAGAATTCATGTAAACAATCTAGTATCTATCATTTCATGTTTTTCCATTTTCATATGATTACATATATATATATACAGACATATAGAGTTTTTAGTAATTTATTCTTACCAAATAAATGGAATCATTTGCTATAAACGTTCTTGTCTTGGAAATTAGCATTCCTGAGATTGTCCTGGAACTTTTTGGCCTGACAGGTTTATATGGTGCGATGCCTCGAGACATCCTGATAGTTGTGGGAAATGAGATTATCGAGGCTCCCATGGCATGGCGCTCACGCTTCTTTGAGTACCGTGCATACCGATCAGTCATCAAAGACTACTTCCACCGTGGGGCCAAGTGGACAACAGCTCCTAAGCCCACAATGGCTAATGAGCTTTATGACCAAGTAAGTCCCTAATGATAGGTTGTTTTATGAATAAGTTTTCTAGATAAGCCACAACAGGGAAAATAGAGACTGTCAGGTATATAGCACATATAAATATGTGATATATATATTCAAATATATATATCACATATTTCTGAAACTGAGAGCATCACCTACTTTTTTGGAAATGGTTGTTTTATGATGAAAATAGAATTAAATGATATTGTGATTAAAAAATAGTGATAACAACAACAATAATAATAGCAGCTAATACATACTTTGTTCCTACCATGTGTGAGGTCCTTGCAAAAAGGGCAAGGAGGCCACATGTTCTGACCTCCTAGAACCCCACAAGAGGAAGACAGAATCACCATCAATAGCCCAAGGCCTATTACTGCAAGGCCGGACATGCTGCCTCCCTCCAGCCCTTTCTCCAACCGTTCCTCCCAGAACACCCACCACCTCTCTCCTGGGTTGGATAATTCGCTGCAGTGGCCACGCAGAACTCACAGACTATGGGGTTTATTAGGGAAGCACCAGGCTACAATTAAAGTTCAGGCAAAAATGCTCAGTCTCTCTCCCAGCCCACCATCTCTCAGCCAAGTCTCTCCCCCAGCAATGCATGTCCCTCGGTGTCTCAGCAATGTGTGTCTCTTGCATCTCTTTCCCAGCAGCACATGTCTCTTTCAGCAGCACATCTTCCTCAACCAGCAGTCAGAGAGAGTTCTGCCTCTAAGGAGGCCTCCTTTTGAGCCTGGAAGAGTGGCCAAACTAGCCAATCATAGCATCAGAACTCTTAAGCACCTGAGAGAGAGTGGGAACCTCCCAGAACATTGTTTTGTGCCATTCCCAACAGAAATACTCCAGGTGGACAACTTTAGCAATCAGGAATGCCTCAGTTGCTCATAGCGAATTCCACCTTGGAGTTTACAAAGACTTATGGGTAGAAAAGCCATGCTAAATAACTTACTACACCACAGGCCACCCCCTGACTTTTCTAGCTAAGAATTTACTACACCGCAGTCCTAGATTAAGCACTCTTTTTGGTCAACTCAACTCAACTCTCTTTACTCCTCTCTTTTTTCCTCCCAGCGACCCTCTTACTCCATTACAGGGAGGGATACTTCCTTAAGGGCACACGGCTATTCATTGGTGGAACTAGGAAAGTAACTAGGCTGAAGTCCATTCTCTTCCCTTAGAAAAAGAACTTGGTCTATAGGAAAAATACACAGTAAAATTAAGTGTATATACCTTTATTACATGACTTTTTATTTTTTGGCTTTTGTTTTTTATTGTGATTTGGGTGAAAGTTTATAGAGCAAATTCATTTTCCATACAGCGGTTCATACACATTGGTTTCATGACATTGACTGCAGTTCCTCACAGTGTAACTGCTCTCTTCCCATCTCCTCCCTGTAGTTAACCTCTTCCCTGTATTCTTCTTTCCTCTGCAATCCTGCCCCCCCAAGCTATCTCCCTAAGCAAATACTGCCCTCTGTTCTCCCACGATTGATCATTCTTTTTTTTTAATGCATTTTATTGAAATATAATTTATGTAAAATACACAAAACTAAAGTGGTATGGATCAGTGCATGTTTTTCTTTTTTGCAGTGTTCCCTCCCCTCCCCTTCCACCCTTGGCAACCAACAAAGAAAGTTTCCCTCCATATATAAACCTTTCCTTGACCTTCTACAACAATGAACTAATGCTATATTTGTCCTTCTGTGATTGACTTACTTCACTCAGCATAATGTCCTCCAAATTCATCCATGTTATGCAGTGTTTTGCAGACTCGACATTATTCTTAAGTGCTGCATAGCATTGCATTGTGTGTATGTACCATAGTTGGGTCATCCACTCTTCTGCTGATGGGCACTTAGGTCGTTTCCATCTTTTTGCTATTGTAAATAGTGCTGTGATGAACATGAGTGTGCATATATCTGTTGCTGTCCTGGCTCTCACCTCTCTAGGATATATACCTAGTAATGGGATTGCTGGGTCAAATGGTATCTCCAATTCCAGCTTTCTAAGGACTTGCCATATTGCTTTCCACAGTGGTTGTATCACTTCACAGTCCCACCAGCAGTATACGAGAGTCCCAATCTCTCCACATCCCCACCAGCATTTGTTACTTTCTGTCTCACTGAACCTTGCCATCATTGCTGACGTGTGATGATATTTCATTGTTGTTTTGATTTGCATCTCTCTGATGGCCAGTAATTGTGAGCACCTCTTCATGTATTAGCTGGCCACCTGAATATCCTCCTTGGTGAAGTGTCTATTCATGTCTTTTACCTATTTTTCAATTGGATTGTTAATTCCTCTGGTGTTGAGGCATTGGAGTTTTCTATAAATCTTAGATAAGTTCCTTGCCAGATATATAATTATCGGCAAATATGAATTTGTTGCTGTTATTTTTGTCATGTACATTATCGTGTTGTCGATTTCTTTGTTCCATATAATTTTCTATGCTGAGCTCGTTTTGTTTATGAACTGTGTTATCACTTCTTTCATTGCTTTTGTTTTAGTATTTGCTAAATATTAGTGCTGGTCCTCTTTTTCATGTTGATGTGAAGGTTTATCATTTTTCTTTGAGGTTACCCTGTGATTTATAGTTTTCTTCCAAAGTTTAGAACAGTCCGTTTTATATAGTAGCTGTCTGGACATCTCTACCATCTAGAAGTTCTGTAACGACACAGTATTTTCCCCTCTTTTTGGTTTGTAGTTGTCCTCATTTGTCAATTGATGTCTCTGGCTCCCTGTTTACAATCTTGTAGGCTTATTTACTTTGGATACTTCCATAGCTGGGTTGGTTTCTGGGTTATGTCATCATGTGTGTTAATGGTCAGTTGTTGTTGGCTGTTGTTGCTTCTCTGTCCAAAGGACTCCCTTTAGCATCTCTTGTGAGGTTGGTCTGGTTTTAACAAGTTCCCTTAATTTCTGCTTATCTGGAAATGTCCTAATTTCACCATCATATTTGAGGGACAATTTTGCTGGGTACATAATTCTTGCTTGGAAATTTTTCTCTTTCAGTGTTTTATATATACCATACCACTGTCTTCTCACCTGCATGGTTTCTGTCGAGAAATCCAAGCTTACTCTTATTGGTTGCCCCTTGTAGGTAACTTTTCGTTTTTCTTGTGCTGCTTTCAGGATTCTTTCTTTGTCTTTGGTTTTGGTGAGTTTGATGATATGTCTTGGTGATTTTCTTTTGGGGTCTGTCCTGTTTGCGGTTCGTTGGGATTCCTGAATAGATATATTCTTATCTTTCATCATACCAGGGAAGTTCTCCTCCAACAAATCTTGAACAATTTTCTCAATGGTTTTATTTTTCTCTTCCTGTTCTGGAATTCCAATTACACATAGGTTATTCCTTTTGACAGTATCCCACATGAACCTTAGGCTTTCTTCATTTTGTCTTGATGTTTTTCTGATTGATCCCTTTCCACAGAAGTATTCAGGTATTGGTCTTTAATCTCATTAATTCTGTCTTCCATTGCATCAATTCTACTCCTTTGCCCTTTCAATGTATTACCTATTTCTGACAATTTAGTATTAATCATCTGGATTTCTATCTGTAGGTTTTGTATCATTTCTAATTTTTTCATTTATTTTGTCATTTTCTTCTTGTATTGTCTTTCGAAATTGTTCTAGGGTTTTGTCTGTATTTTCCTTGATCTGTCTCTCAATCCTTTGAAGATACCTAAATATAATTCTTTTGAAAGAATTATATTTAGATATTATTATATCTCTTATCAGAGAGTTCCAGTGCTACCTCTTCCTCAGGGATGTGTTTTGGGTCTTGTTTCTCCTGCTTTATCTTGCTTCTTTGTGTGGACTGTGATGCTCTGTTGTTGCAGAGACATTGTGACTTTTTTGTGTTTATATTTAATTGGTGATTGTATGTTGGAGTGACTTGCCCATGATTTTCGTTTTCTTTGTTTTGTTTGTATGTTATCTACGCAAGCAGGGCACTGTTCTGTGCTCCTCTATGCACTAGTTGACAGCACTTATACATACACCACCTGTCTTCCTTTTCTGTTGTCAGCCTTTTGTATGTCCCTGCCAACCTTGGCAAACAGAGCCTATTCTTAGGTCCCTGGAATCCGAATGAGAATGCTTTCACTTTAAAATCCAAAATGGTTGTCACTTGTAAACATTCAAAATGGCTGTGCCCTCGGTCACTTCAAATATCCAAAATGGTTGTCACTTGTAAACATTCAAAATGGCTGTACCCTTGGTCACTTTAAATATCCAAAATGGCAGCCACTTGTAAACATTCAAAATGGCTGCACCTCGGTCACTTTAAATATCTAAAATGGCCGCTGCGTGTAAACAATCAAAATGGCTGTGCCTTCCAGACAGCGGAAAGTCAACAACTTAGGTTGTCTCCCTCCTTGCTATTTCCCTTCCTAGTCATAGGGCACCAGTGCAGTCATCCCTGCAGCCCTTGGTGACCAGGGCTGATCTTTAGGTCAATTATCAGGTCCCAACACCACTTGGAAATATTCAGGCTGTTGGTCCCATCAAAGTAGCTGACAGTCTGCAGCTCCGACTGTCTCTGTACTCACTGTTTTTATTCAGGTTTTTCCACTAGTTGGTGCCTAATCCACTTCTGTATAGTTCCTTTCAAAGCTCAGGGCTCCAGGATTATCTTCTGTATCTCTTGTCAACTGGTTTTTCTTTTTTTTGTTGAAGAGGGTCTGTGTTGCTTGTCTGCCTATTCCTCCATCTTACCAAAAGTCGACGATCCTATTACACCACTTTTTGATCATTTATAGAAAGAACCAAAGAAATAAAAATTTCTTCTGGAGGTTTAAAGACAGAAACAAGTAATGAGTTAATTCTACCACACCCAATCAAATTTGGCAAGGGATACGTGGCATCTCATTTTATGGTGTATTAGGCTCAGGACCAAATTCCTTGTCTAAAAGAACCAAATGATTTCATCCTGTTGACTTTGAATATTGCAGATAGCTACATAAAGCAATGGATGGGGCCATAGAATATTTTTAAAATTAAGTACTGCCCTTTTACCACTTGCTTCTAAATATCATGAAATCGCTGGCGTGCCTAGTTTTTATTTTTGTTGTTGGGTTTGTTTGTTTCTTTCTTTCCTATGTATGTTTTAGTCTAAAACTAAGTAGTAGTATTGTGGGAAATGATGAAATTGAATTAGTTTTCTTCATAATGAATGCATTATAAATAATTTTTCATGCACCGACACATTGTATGTTTATTGCTGCTCCAATTAGGATTACCCCATTGATTCTGTGGCAGACAGACACAAATTGGCTGCTCAGGGAAAATTTGTGACGACTGAATTCGAGCCCTGCTTTGATGCTGCTGATTTCATTCGAGCTGGAAGAGATATTTTTGCACAGCGAAGCCAGGTTGAAAAAGACTGCCTCTGAAATTTCACACTATATTACTGTGTTTTTTTATTTTTAATTTTCATCCTTAATGTTTTTTGTTTTCTAAATAGAACCAAATTTTCATATTATATGTCTTTCTCTTATTTTCAGGTTACAAACTACCTGGGCATTCAATGGATGCGTAGGCATCTTGCGCCAGACTACAGAGTGCATATCATCTCCTTTAAAGATCCCAATCCTATGCATATTGATGCTACCTTCAATATCATTGGACCTGGTCTTGTGCTTTCCAACCCTGACAGACCATGTCACCAGGTAAGTGCATTCTTGGGACTCTGGAAAAGCAATAGAATCTAGCACCTGAATTAATTGCCACTTTTACTTTAAGGACTTTCATGGTTCCTGTATGCTTCTAAATAACAGATTCAGCAATGCTCAACATCATTATGCTCAAGCATTGGATGGCTTATGATGTGTCTACTACAAGATGTCCAACACTCAGAAATATACATTGTAGCCATGAATTAACTCTAGTGCCATCAGACTTTGACTTGGGCTGCTTGCTGTTATCAAAACCTCAAGTTTGTGTGCATGTCTGTGTTTTTATCAAACAGAAGGGTATTTTGTCATAACTTGCAGCAGTGGTTCAGCAATAGCAGCTGAGTTGCAAAGATGATCCCTGCATGCCCGGAGCCATGCCACTGGGCAACAGGTGTCTTCTTTGCTCTCCAGTGGGTTCAACCCCCTGGACCAGCCCCATCCTGCAGGGACGAGCAGAGCAGCTGCACTGCAGCTGGTCTCTCTCCATCACCTGCAGCCTCCTACTTCTTCCTGCTACCCTCTATCTTCCATTGAGTGGTGAGTTATTTTGTATTATTTGCTAGGCTACAATATGCCTTTTAAAAGGTGTGCACTGTATCACTTCATTTCTATTCTATATTTTTAGACCCAATGACCAAGGTTATTTACTCATTTCAATATAACTTATTGATATACTAAGTGAAAATAACTGAGTTGTCGTTGGTCGTTCAGGAAAGTGTGGTTTTTTGGGAGCACGTCCCTACATTGTCTCTACATGCTCACAGACACAAAGTGATAGACTCTGAAGTGTGTGGACTGAAGTAGGCTGAAGTGGATGGACTATGGGTGTGACCTAGTCAGATTTTTTTTGTATTCTTATGACTACAGAGAAAAAATGAAGATTTTCTTTAATTAGAGTTTCTCGAGAAAGTATCTGTGATACCAGCAGTCCCCAGGGCATCAAGGAGATCCATTCCTAACTGTGTCTTTAAGAATTTGTAGGGAAGTTGGGGCAAACGCATATGGTTTTTAATTTAGCCTTACGTTAATGCAAGAAGGAGCCTAGTGGTGCAGTGGTTAAAATGCTCAGATGCAAACCAAAAAGTTTGGTGGTTTGAACCCACCAGCTGCTCCACCAGAGGAAATGTGGCGGTCTGCTGCTGTAAAGATTTACAGCCTTGGAAACCCTGCGGTGGAGGGGGAGCTCTATAGGGACACTGAGTCAGAATCAACATGACAGCAGTAGGTTAGGTAATGCAAGAAAAGGGTCAAAGCCGTTTCAATAATTTCAAAGCTGTACATGCAGTGAGTAAAGATGATTGTGAAGAATTTGTTGGGAGTAGGGGTTGATTCAAACATTTCAAAGGAAGGGCAAATTTACATAACATTAAAGGGCAAGTAGGGGTTGTCAATAAGTAACCCAGGGACTGCCTATATTTTAAAATCTCTGAAACCTGAGAAAAGCATGAGGATATCTTTAAAATGTTTAATATTTCTATTCCTTTTTAACTGTAATCTGTGAATTTTATGTATCCAGATCACATAAAATCATCTAAATATATAGAAATTTTAATTTTTTTATATTTGGCAATTGAGAGAACAGCTACTCAAAAAAAAATTACAAATGATAAGAGCTATCAGAGACCAAGAATGATAAGAATAGTGTGTAGATTTAAGCATCTTTGGGTTTGTGTGTATGTGTGTGTCTTGCAGATTGATCTTTTCAAGAAAGCAGGATGGACCATAGTCACTCCTCCATTACCAGTCATCCCAGATGGTATGTTGACTTTTGAATATTTATAGACTAAGATAATTAATAATCAAGGACCTTTTGCTAATAGGAAGCACCCTAAATTTTTAGCAATTTGGAGAAAACATGTTCCCAGTCAGAAGTGGTCGTTTGGGACTTGTTGTTATGTGCCATTGAGTCAGACCCAACTCATAGTGACCCCTCCTTGAATTTCTGAGGTGGTATCACTACAGAAGTAGGTTGCCCAACCTTCCTTCTGAGGAGTGACTGGTGGATTTGAACTGCCAGCCTTCTGGTTAGCAGTCAAGTGCCTTAGGCACTGTGCTACCAGAGCTCATTTGCGACTAGGAGTACTAAAACAGGGCCAAGACTTATGTTCACAACCTCTCCTTGAAAATGAAAGTGAAAAGATAAGAGGGAAACCAGTATAAGACAACATCACTTAAGGCAAGAAATGACTTTTTAAAACAAGAAATGTAATGAGTATTGATTGATTCATAACATTTAGATAAATTTGTCTTAAAATCAGAATAAGAGTTCACAGGGAAGTAAACTACTGGAAAATGGACTGTCACTTTCATATTCTTGTGAAATCTTGCTTTAAACAAAATGATATATCGGATGTGATATGATAGTTGTTATTTCTAGATCACCCTCTCTGGATGTCATCCAAATGGCTTTCCATGAATGTCTTGATGCTAGATGAAAAGCGTGTTATGGTGGATGCCAACGAAGTCCCAATTCAAAAGATGTTCGAAAAGCTGGGTAGGTATAATAAATTAAATACTTTGTCATACGAGAAGATAATTAAAGTAGAACAAATAAATAAATAACATGCTAGGTCTGGTGCACAGTTTCATCTAATTCAATTGTCTATTTATTTTAGAGGCACCAAGTAGATGGACAGTGTTTTTGTTTTCAACAATTACGAAAGTATAGAGAAGCGAACAGTGCTCCCAAGACTTCCACTTAGCCACTGGCTTAGGAGTTCTGTGACTTATCTGGGAGCTCTGGTAGCGTAGTGCCTAAGGCACTTGACTGCTAACCAGAAGGCTGGCAGTTCAAACCCACCAGCCACTCCTCTGAAGGAAGATGAGGCAGTCTACTTCCGTAGTGATAACTGCCTCAGAAACCCAAGGAGGGGTCGCTATGAGTGGAAACCCAAGGAGGGGTCGATAAGAGTTGGGTCCAACTCGATAGCATATAACAACAACATGACTTATCTGACCTCCTGCTGCCCATGTGTGGAGAACTACCCCTTTAGCAGATAAGAATCTAGATTATTGTTCAGCTTATCTTTAAATAAGTTGTTGAGGGTCCTTTAAAAGTAATTTCATTGTAATCACATATTTTCAAGGGCATAGGGCACCTCATACACAGCCACCACCCTTCTGTCAGTAGAGATTTGAGTGCCTAAGGCACTTGACTGCTAACCAGAAGGCTGGCAGTTCAAACCCACCAGCCACTCCTCAGAAGGAAAGTTGGGCAATCTACTTCCGTAGTGATATTGCCTCGGAAACCGAAGGAGGGGTTGCTGTGAGTCGAGTCCAACTCAACGGCACGTAAGCAGCAACAACAACAGTGGTATTGATTAGATGTCAGTAGAGCTTCTAGACTAAGTCAAACTAGGCAGAAAGGGCTGGCAATCTACTTCTACAAAGCAGCCAATAAAAACCCTGTGACTCACAACAACATGATCTACAACAGATCATGGATGGGGATGGTGAGGACCAGGCAGCATTTTGTTCCACTGTACATGGGGTCACCATAGACTGACTCAGCAGTAGATCACAACAAGGGTACTGATTCAGAAGTAACTGACGTGTGGTTAGCACAGGGACCTGTAATGAAACTCGATAGAAGGTATTGGTACATCATTCTGTTTCAACAGTCTGTCTTTGAACTAAAGAACAGAACCAGTTTCTTCTTGAGTGTGAGTTTGCTTATCCTGGTATTCAAAATTTAATACAAAACGAAACTCACTGCGATCGAGTCTGATCTGACTCATAGTGACTCCTTGGGTTTCTGAGGCAGTATCACTACGGAAGTAGATTTCCCAGTCTTCCCTCTGAGGAGTGGCTGGTGGGTTTGAACCACCACCCTTCTGGTTAGTAGTCAGATGCCTTAGGCACTACACCACCAGAGCTCCTGCTTGTGTTTAAAAGCCCACTCTTTATGCCAATCCTACTTCTTGCCCTCATCCAAACTGTTCAGTCTCGCTTTCTCAGGAAAGTCTCCCCCCAATAACTCAACCCTCCTTCCCCTCCCTGATTATAAACCATAGACCCTTTATTGACTCTCTAGCTTATCCTCCCCCTAAAAATAATGAGTTACTTGAGGCAAAGAGGAGTCTCTGGGCTGTGTAAAAAGTTAATGAGCTCGGCTGCTAACCCAAAGGTTAAAAGTTCAAGTCCACCCACTGGTGCCTAGGAAGAAAGGCTTTGTTAGCTACTTTTGAAAAATAAGCCATTGAAAACCCTGGGGAGCAGAGTTCTACTGTGAGACACATGGAGTGGTCCTGAGTCAGAACTGACTCTTTGGCAGCTGGCACTGGTTGAAGGAGGGGAATAGATTTTCTTAAACCCAATATGGCTAACATAAGGTTCCCTGGAGGGACAGTGGTTAAATGCTTGGCTGCTAACTGGAAGGTTGGTGATTTGAACCCACCAGCTACTCCAAGGGAGAAGGATGTGGCAGTCTGCTTCCGTAAAGATTATAGCTTAGGAAACCCTATGGGGCAGTTCTGCTCTGTCCTGTAGGGTCGCTATTAGTTGGAATTGACTAAGCAGCATATAACAACAATAACATGCTTAACGCAGGTCCTTCATTGGCACTTGACTTCTAACCAAAAGGTTGGTGGTTTGAATCCACCCAGTGGTGCCACAGAAGAAAGGCTTGGTGATGTACTTCTGTAAGATTACAGCCATCGAAACCCCACAGAGTTCAGTTCTCCATTAGCACACAGGAGGTTGCCATGAGTTGGATTGACTCAAGGGGTTGAGGGTTTTGTTTGTTTTTTATGCCTGACACAACAACATGTAAAGTCAGGAAGGTGGGGCAATCTACTTCCGTAGTGATACTACCTCAGAAACCCAAGGAGGGGTCACTATGAGTCAGATCCAACTCAACGGTACATGACAACAACCCAACAGGTAAAGTCAGTGTTTCTTGTTCCACCTCCTACTTTGGCAAGTAGCGACTGGGATCTTAAAAGCTAGCAAGCTGCCATCTAGATTCAACGATGGTTCTCTCCTCATCCAGAGCAAGGAAGAATGAA